GGAAAGAGTGTTACAGATGAACAATGTGAATTGCTACTCGCCGTTCATGGACAGACATCTGGGAATCGTCCGCCGAGGTGTACTCATGAGTCTTTCCGATTAGCTACGCCCCTAGTTTTCATCAGTAGAGTGACCACCGAATAGCTTTGCATGAACGTCGTAGTCGTCGTATTTCGGCGCCTAGCTGCCGTGCCACTCGAGAGAGGAGCACGAAGGCTAAGATACTGTCAGGTAGGGCAAACCTAGACAGCCTCCATTGAGATGCAGAGGTTCGGTTCGAACCACGCTCAGTAGGCCGTAGGGTTCAGGTTTTTCGTGCAGCATACTTGAGGACACGGCTGCATTGCATGCGCCTTTCCTATAACTGAGAGTCATATGTTATGTATGTTATGTATGTGGCAGCGAAGCACCAGCGTTGAGCGCCGATGTTGTGTTGTCGATGATAAGGATGATGATCGCTTTGTTATGACCGTTCCCTGTTCCGTCGCTTTGTCTCATTCGTTTGTTTCCCATTCCATGCAGTATTGCCTCTGGCTATCTGCCCAACGTACTCTAGTTAGCACCATTCTCGTATTTGACTAGTTCACTCCACACACCCCATCCTCATACTGTCAGGTTGAATCACGGGGCTATTCGGCAACTGGACTCTCACAGAAATCGCCCACTTGTTTCTGCAGCCATGGACGATGGTACCTTGCTCATCCTCCACGCTACCGTATCAGAGTAAGTCGCTATGTCCCGTTGGTTATACTATTACATAACCCCCTTCTTTTCTCACTGCCCACTTTCACGTCATTCAGAATAGTCCACTAGACAATTATGAGAAGTTTTAATGTTTCTACCCCTGATCTCAATTTGCACATCTGTACAGTTGTATCATCCTCGTGTGAAATCACATCTGTCCCATTCAGAATGGCATTCAAACTTGCAACCTTTTTTTAAGAATCGGTTCTGAGGGGCTCGCCCAACTAGCGTGCTTTCCCAATGTAGCGCCATTCTTGGTGAATGTCCGTAGCCCGTCCTTGTTCCCCTTTCCGGACACCTCAACTAACTATTTAGTTCGAGGAGAGTGCATGCGATCTCGTTGTATTTGTCTGCTTCTGGAAGAAGCATCTATCTCTCTGGCATGTTCAGTGTGCACCATGTGGAAAAGGGTTCGAAAAGCAACCTTACCGCCTCCATCAGCTAGGCGCATATTGATCATTCTCGTAACATTCGAGGCTCAACTAGAACATATGAAGTTAACAGAGGTATCTGCGAGTGCTGTGTTCCTGGCTTGCCAAAATGATACGCCTGCCTCACAATGTCTTATCTATCGATTCCTATGCTTGTGCTTAACCGGCTATTCATTCAGCCTTGGGCAGTGAGATTTTTACTTTGACCGCATTGGCCCATCAGCCTCCTGGATATGCTTTCACCTCAGGTTGCATGCACTGTAAATTAGCAAACTATGTGTTTTCCCACGATCACTATTCATTATTGGTCTATTCCTGATGCGTATATCTCTTCAAAACACGACTAGAACTTTCGTAAAAGTGGTACTACTTGAAGAGTAAAGTTTTCACGTGAACGAAATGTAGACAAGTTAATCGACGCATCAGGTAACTATGTACCTGCTTCGGTGATCCCGAAATTTTCAATACCAGTTTCGGCAGGTCGTCTAAATCTTCGTTTGTTAAACCGAGACCACCTGGATCAGGTTCGCCGAATAAACATCCAAAGTGACAATATGTCTAAATGTTGATAGCTTGGAGAAGTCAATTGGATGGTGAGAGTGGAACACAAAAATTGACAAAGTTAAGACCACCGGAACGCACATCCAGTCCGAAGTTATAACGGAATGACAAAAAGGTACCCTACGAACGCGGCGAAAATGGTAAATAGACCACTCAACTCAAAGAGGAAAAACTGGCGTATGTAGATGTTCGATCGACCAATCAACTGGCTCTGGAACACAGCATATCGAAAAGGCGATATGGACCAATAGTAATGAAGAAATAGGACCGCTGTATTGGTTCGGATGCCTGTCAAATGCCGTTTCGATGCCAAAGAAATCATCTACGGACGTCGGGTGATGACTATCCTTTCGGCGTTTTTTCCAAACCTTTGTGTTTTGCACCTTCACTATGGGACTGAGGGATTTCCAACGGGTATGATTCTCGGTTCCAAGAATGAACAGTTTTGGGAATGTATGGGGTATTTTTCCGGAGAACGCAAAGTTGTGTTTAGTCGAACAAACGACACAAGTTTGCTTTTGAATCTCACTCGGAGTGCAGGTCACGCTCCCCTGGGAGATTACAATGAATTTCTCCATTCAATTACCGCGTTATCGCGCTTGGCTGCTGAGCCGATTTCATCAGTACCTAGTTTAGGATATCCTGGTTTTAGGCGTGATCAGACCAGTACAGCGCCCTATGTTTTACGGAGTTGGTTATCGCTCTTTTCTCATCTGTGTAACCTTCCATCGCGGGCTTTCCACGCAAATGACTATGCAGACGTGGTTTTTGCTGTTTCTTCCTGAAAACTACTTCCCTTCCTCCTCCAATCTCTATCATAGGTGGTACATTATTTTCAACCCCAAAGCTGTACCCAGTCGTATTCATAGCCCCTTCAGACTCCGTTGTACCATAGCCAATTCGTCCTGATTACTCCTTTCTTGGTTTGCCTATATAACGTTGGAAAACAGTATTATTGATAGACCAGTAATTAGGGGTTGCTGAGAGTTTTTTTCTATTTACCTGACTTATCACCCCTCACATACTCCTGTTCTCTTTACGAATTCCCAGCGATTTACTTTCCAAACCCGTGATCATCCCGGTCCAGTTGATACGTACCGGTCAACCGAGTGGTGCGTCCACCATCTTCTCAACGGCCTTTCACACAAGACAACCGCACGTCTATACCGGTGGTGCGGACGGCAATGTTCGACAGTTCGTAGCTTGGAGATGAACATCGTCATCTTTATTTCCATGCCCTGTGTACATAGATTTTGTTCGGAGGAGCAAATACATTCATTTCGGAGCATTTCGCTATTCGTACATTTTCTTGACGACTGGATCAGGGGTCAACTAAAGTGCAAAATTTCTCAAATGTTATTTCTTGTGATTGTTATTAGTAGTGGTGTTTACCCCGAGGTGGTTTCGCGTCATCACCTGTTTCGTTCGCTTTCTTTGGCCGCACTCAACTTTCCGTTTTGAAAAGACAAATTTAGACAACCGGTCGTTGGATATATGGGATAATTGTCCCATGACGTCATTCAGGCATGTTGTTTTTGTCTTGCATACGCTGGCTAGGTGAGAGCTGCGTCATTATTAGAATCCAGCCCCTGAAAGCCCCGTGGCACGGGGCATTCAGTCAATCCTAATTGTCGTTCACTGGACAGTTGCATGTGGAGATCCCAGCCGACCCGGAATTCGCTGCGGACGACTTGTGCGTACGAATGGACGCAAACCGCGTAGTGGTATCCGGTAAAGGGAAGACTATGGACAAAACTGACAATTCGAGTAGCACCTTCATCAAAGAGTTTTCACGTTCATATGATGTGCCACGAACGGTTGACACGTTCTCTGTCAATGCTCAGCTGCAGGGGGGACAAACTCTTGGTAGAAGCACCCTTGTTGCGTCCTTATACTTCACGATGAATACATTTAAAATTCCCCCTTTTTTGTTATTTTGGTCTGTGCCCATACCAACCTTGTTGTTTTTGACCTGAACATAAACCGTTCTTTGACCTTGTCATCGGACGTGTCGTTTAAGTTCACACGTGGTTTCGCTAGCTTGTAAACACGTGGCTCCGAGTCGGCGTGGACTTTGAGACCCGTTAGGAATTAGCAGTTCCTAAACCGGTGTATAGAAGCCGGCGTAGTCCCACGATTTGAGGTTTGTAAAGCTTTATCATTTTATTATTGTACTTATAGTACCGCATTTGTAGATAAACCTCCATTTGAAAGAATTGGCTTTTGGGGTTTTGCGCGTAACTCGACGTGGTTCAACAGATTGCTGGAAACAATCTATATGCATACGCTGGCTAGGTGAGAGCTGCGTCATTATTAGAATCCAGCCCCTGAAAGCCCCGTGGCACGGGGCATTCAGTCAATCGTAATTGTCGTTCACTGGACAGTTAGTCTCACTTGTGATTCAGCAAATTACTCGTGCTGCTCCAGTTGGCCAGTAATTGCATGATTCCGCCATGGTGCCAAAACATTTAGTTTCCACAAGTTCATTAAATGATTCAAACACAGACGCAAATCTCCATCTCTTCACAGCACCACGGAAGCCGTCTAGAGGGGATTCCACTCTGTGCATTGTTTGAAACTGTTCTTCGACCCTGTTAGCGAGTTCTTGAGACAGTATCGTCGAAATGTGACATGCAGGATTTCCATTGGAGAGCAAGCCAATATACCTCATGCTTTAGCAACCCTGATCTTCCAAGCCTACTTCAATTCCGGTCTTACCTCCAGGGTCCTTGGAAGAGAATGCGCCTCAGACATTTGTGATGTTTTTATCCTAGGCGACTAGCAAGGCCATCCAGAGGTCGCAACAAACCCGTGCGCGCAATTTCCCTTGCTGCATAGTTATCCGTTTGAAACCAGTCATAACTGGGGAGGCTTAAAATACAAGTAAAAATCCAATCGGGACAGCCAGTGACGCCTGAAAATACGGCTAAACGTCAGTCAAGGATAGATTCTGAAATCTTGATTCCGCGCCTGTTCAGCTGTTTTTATGCTGGAGACCAATTATCATTTGTTTTTATCCTGGGTCAACCTACAAAATCAGTTGGTCCGTCAGTAACACACTTGCTTCCTTCAATTTACGTGCCAACACCAGACTTATCAGGCTTTAGGAAATGCCGGCGCTCGTGGGTGGGGGGGGCACACTTTGTCGCAGTTGACGAAGCTCAACAACGGTGAGGAGCTAGTGATAACTGTGACAAACCGTACTGTAAGAGGACGGAAATTTACGTTGATTTGAGGGTACTCTGGCCTGTAACCGTCCGATACGGTGCCCGTCTAGTTGGCTTTAATACCAATAGAAAGGTCATAAATGACGCTGTACCTAATTCGGGCGTGCACCAAATGGCGATGAAGATGAATTTGCCGAGCAGCGTGTTGAGGAGGGTCGGTGGCATTTGCGACGTCGAACACTTATAGAAATTGCAGCCGAGTGCAGTCACATTTTTTCCGGGTTCTTTTCTCCTGTTGGGAAGATATTCACTGGCACCAAACTGGACGGGAAAACTTCCCTGCACAGTTAAAAATAATTCCATCAAATTGGCTGCCTCTTCTGTGACCCATTAGGTTACCTCCCGTCACATCTGCATTTGCTCAGCCAGCGGATGCGTGCTTTTTGCCTCTTTTCTTCCCTGTTGACGAGGAGTGCTGCAACGTCGTCGACACTCTTAAGGGGGCCGAGGTGATTCTGTCAACCAACGGAGACGGGCGAAGTTTTCTGCGTAGAGAATCGCCTTCAGTCTCAAAATATTTCAATGAACTTTGTTGCCGGGAAGAATGGCTAGGATAAATGGTAATTAAGTTTTTTTAATAACGCATATTTTATTTGCCTTGTATTGCAATCACAAATCAAAATCCATCCTAGACGTTCTTCTGAGACGACATTAAGAAAAATGATTTGCCGTGGTATCAGTTTAAAAGTGAACAACCGGATAAATTTTTCCTCGTTTCAGCTGCTACTTCCGAAAATTAATTGCGAATGCACGATCGCCA